TAGGTGAAATATAGGTATGTTTTATTCACATTTCACCTACCTTTTCTATTTCCCTTTCCAAATCTCTCCTCAAATCCCCCAACCAAACACAACATTAGGGTTTGGGTTGAAGAGTTATACTTCTCCAAAGGGGGGTTTTTGCGTCAATTGAAACTTTGGCCAATAAATCAAACATATTCACTTTTATAAAAGAAGCCTTGGGCCCAATCCTTGATTATCTAACGATTCAAATGAAAATAGAAACTTTTAATAATAGAAGGTGACTAGCTGTAAGGAAGAGGTACCGATTAAGGAAAAGTAGGACAAACCTCCCTCTCAAAGTGGAATTCATCCCAACAAAACCCGTCCATCTCTAGTAAACGAACAAACTAGATTGCTGTTTGGGATGAATTCCACTTTGAGAGGGAGGTTTGTCCTACTTTTCCTTAATCGGTACCTCTTCCTTACAGCTAGTCACCTTCTATTATTAAAAGTTTCTATTTTCATTTGAATCGTTAGATAATCAAGGATTGGGCCCAAGGCTTCTTTTATAAAAGTGAATATGTTTGATTTATTGGCCAAAGTTTCAATTGACGCAAAAACCCCCCTTTGGAGAAGTATAACTCTTCAACCCAAACCCTAATGTTGTGTTTGGTTGGGGGATTTGAGGAGAGATTTGGAAAGGAAAATGGAAAAGGTAGGTGAAATGTGAATAAAACATACCTATATTTCACCTAGTTTCACACACCTTTTCTCTTTCCTTTTCCAAATCCCTCTCCAAATCCTCTTATCAAACACAGCGTAAGTCAAAGTACGAAATTCAAGACTTCGCTTTTGGCAAGTAATCCCACCTATATTTAATAAAGACTATCATAGGGCGCAAGACAAAGATACCTGAGGAGGTGCCCTCTGTTCCCTTTCTTTTCATCTTCTCCTCTAATTTGCAGGGTCCCCTCTTCTTCTTTCTTTCTATGGAATTCTATTCCAGACTCACAGACACGTCATGAGTAAAAAGCACGGGGCTACCTCTAGTAATTGGTCTAAAGAGCTTTCTTGCCATCAACTAAATAGCGGGTTTCCAAGGTGAAGTCCACTGTTGAAAGCTTGCACTTTCTCTCTTCACATAGATAATTGAAAGCCTTTTTAAAAGTATCAAATCCGGTCAAAGAAAGAAAGCTAAGTGTTTGACAAATGTGATCTGGAAAATAGATAGTTGTTTTTTTAAGGGAATTATGTTCTGATCATGTTACTATAATGTTAGTTTGCCTTGATTTTTTTTCATATAAATAATTTATTATGCAAATTTTACGAATAAATTATTCAAATCTTGAAGGTGGGCTTGAAATGTGAGCCCAATCAAAATGTTGTGGGCTTGGGGCTACCAGTACCATATATTTGTAAATAATGTATATTATTATTATATATCATCCTTTAGTCGAATGTATAACAGTTAGGATATAGACCCAATCTTGTCCATCTATTAATTAAGGGAAATGTTACATGGACAAATAGTTTTTATAATTTTATTGTTTTATAAGTTGATGTGGCATTGAGTAATAGACTTTTGAATGTAAAAATGGCATTTATTTTATTAATATAATGGGTGTCACATTAGTTTGTAAGGAAAATTTGTAAGAAAAAAAAGTTTATTTGTATGTCACTACTCATTAAATAACTATAGGTTAGGAAAAATAAATTTTGAGTAACACTGAGGATCTCAAATATTTTATAAAAATTTCTACTAAATACTCACATAGATGTGAGATTCAATGTTTGATAGAAAATTTTGACAGAATATTTGGGGGTTTTAGCATTTTTGATAAATTTCTTTTAATTTTTTTCCATCATTAAATTAGGTAATTAAAACTCATCGAATGTTAGGCATTTAGCGTTAAGCTATTTAAAAAATTTATGTACTTCTAATACTATGTTTGACCTCATACTTATCAAACCAAAACATTATTTCAAGTTCTAGATATTAAATTTAAGTTTTAAAAATAAATTTTATAATCATAATTTATACTTTTTTATGTTTGAGTTTATGATTTTTCATCCAAATATACCAAGAATTTGTGTGTGTGTGTGCGCGCACGCGCGCGCGTGAATTTTGAAAATTGGAAATTTATGGTTCAACAGATTAGGATTTTGCATTTGAGTTTATCATTTGGAACTTTTAATTAAGGAGCATATTATATCTTTTTAGTTCAAATCGTTCATCAAAGCATTTTCGGTATATGCATTTAATTGTCTAATCCATTTAAAAATAGATAAATTTTTTGTTCAAAAATGTTAGAAATCTCAAAAATTCTATCAAAAATTCTACCAAATGTCTCACATAAGTGGGACCAACATGAGACTCAGATCGCGGTGAGACATTTAATAAAATTTTTGGAATCTAACATTGCACTTTTTGGTTAGACCATAAAAGTGAAACGTAGTCGGTATCATTATCATTAAACATTCATTAATTAATGAATGCCCTTAGAGAACTCCGAGCACAGTGGCTCATAAGTTGGGTACATTCTAACATCAACACACATTTACAGAGAGAAAATGAAGCTAGCATTTGCAACTTTCCTGCTTGTGGCTCTTGTCCTCAGCTCTTCATTCTTTGAGACAACAATGGCTGGTTCAATTTTTTGTGACTCAAAGTGTGCAGTGAGATGCTCAAAATCCGGACGTCCCGACCGGTGCCTCAAGTACTGTGGGATCTGCTGTGAGAAGTGCCATTGTGTTCCTTCTGGGACGGTTGGAAACAAGGATGAGTGCCCTTGCTATAGGGATATGAAGAACTCCAAGGGCCAGCCCAAGTGCCCCTAAAATGTTTTTTTGAGTTTTGTGTGTCAATGCATATCTTCTTATGTGGGTTTGAGTTATGGGTCATGAAGCTACTAGTCCATTTGTGATGGTAATTCATTTTGCTCTGTTTTTAAGAGTTAAATGTGTCTCTAAATAAGATCATGTCCATTTTGTTAACTCTATTTTTCTATGCATGACATACACTTGCTAATGCATTACATATCAATTATTAGATGGTTTGATAATTGAGGTGATGCTTTGATGAATGAAGAAAGTATTTGGTAGTTTTAATTTGTTCGACTATGGAGGTAATAATTACTAGGTGTGAGGGTATTCTTAAAAGAATATATATGTTGAGAAAAGATATTCGAGGACGTAACTAAATTTGTTATCCCCAATGCACACAAATTTACAATTAGAATTACATACAAGAATAACATTTACCTAATAAGTTCAATCATCCAAATTTATAGCAACAAATATCACACCTATGAATAAATAAAAGAGGAATTTCCCATTTTTAAATACTTATATATGCTTATGTCCTAAACAAGATTTTGTAACTAATTAAATCTCATCATGTATTTCGAAAATACTCTCCATTGTTATCGGTGTGGCTCACTTCCTAATCAATGTATTTTATTTCATTATCAATAATTATCAGAGTTTTAAGAGAGAGAGAGAGAGTGAGAATCTTAACAAGCTCCTCCTCCTCAAGTTTAATCATCTAACATGTTTTAATTAATTTTGAACCAAACCCCAAAGTTCTCTCTCTCTCTAGACTTCAATCATGATCTCATTGAAAAAGAATTGTGTAGAAAACATAAGGTGGTGAATTATTCGAATTTTCATTTTTATAACTTAGTAAGTAGTGAAAAAATAGTACATAAAATATTTGTAAAGCACGTATATTATATAACAATAAATGCTACATATTAATAAAATAATTCATAAAGAAATCTGTATAAAATGTATTCTAGTTGTGCTAAAATAACACAAAAAAAATACTACACAAATGAAAATGGAGAGAGAGAGAGAGAGAGATGGGAAAGGCGGGGGAAAGAAAATGAGTTCAACCAAAGCTAATAAACTCCACCCTTTGAAATATATCCTCCCATGCCATATATGTTTAAATTTAGAGTGATCCTACTTACATTATTATTTTACCTCTTTACACATTCCATTTTAGTATGCCATTAAAAAATGTAATTCTCATTACACCTATTATATTACCAAAATTAACCAGACTTTTCAAAACCCTTTCATCTCTTTACACCAATAGTTTTTGGAAGGAAAATAAGGGAACAAAGAAAGACACAGAAAGGGGAAAAAGAAAGACACGGGAAGAAGTGAGTGGAGCCCACATCAAAGTGCCTGTTCGGTCACATAATGCTAAACAATTTACATTCCTCCAGTGTTATGCTGCTGGAAAAAAAATAGATTTCTCCAGCGTTTTGTTACTAAACATTTACAGAGCCATTTTCTTTCAAACAATGATTTTTGAATTTGTGTCAAGCCTATTTGGTAATACAATGCTGAATTTGAATTAATCCAGTGACATGTTACCAAACAAACTTTTATTCGGGGCCACTTGTGAAGTGCCTCTTCAATGATACATTGCTATACAAATTAGATTACTCGTGTCATGTTGCTAAATTATAATAGATTTTTCTAGCCACTTGTCACTGTACATTGAAAGATTTACTTTGTCCTTCAAGCATTCATAAATCAAACACTCATCCATAAAATCATAAATAAGAAGTATCCATAAAAATATCAAGTGTACAAACATCCATAAAAGTATCGATAAAATCTGTCATTGTTTGCATCCATCAATCAAACATGTTATCACAATTTGTCTATATCGATAGTTTCGATAGTTACTACATCAGGTGTCACAACCCAAACTCGCCCCTATAGGTTTAGTATCGTAACCGGCCAGTAATCCTGGGATTATCGAAGGCCTCTGAACAAATTAGTAAAATTAAAGGGCTAGTGGGAGCAATATCAAAATACAATGTCCATAGAATTGTGTAAACGTACATGGGACAGAAAATTTCAAGTTTATACTTACATATATAACGTCAACTTATATACAGATAAACCAAAATGGGTCTTAGCCCAATATACAAACAGTACAGAAACTTGTTCAGACAAAACAAAACAAAAGAAAACAAAGTCTTAAACATGGTTCACCAAACTTGACCACCTCTTAATTCGGGAACTTCCTCGGGAGGCACGGTGGTTGGTTGACCAAAATAGAACTCTAGACCAATGTTTTCAAACCCAGACCGGACCGACCGATCGAACCGGTTGGACCGAGAACCAGGCCTTGTTCCGGTCCGATCAACCCCCTAAACTCGGAGTGGGGACAAAACCAGGGAAAACCGGTTACCCAGTGGTCGAACCGGCAAAACCGGTTACCCGAACCGGGTCGGGAGGGTCAGACCGGTCTTTTTTTCTTTTTTTTTTTATTTTTTCTTTTCTTTCTTTCTTATATATTTATATATATATATATATTTCAAAATTTTGACTAAAAATTCTTATTTCAAGAGTCTCCTCTCATAAGGAAGAGTCTCATTGAAAGTTTGAGAATATTATGAAAGTCTATTCCTATTTATAGGAAAAGATTTTTCAAAACCTTCCTAAATTCTACCATTTATACATAACAACAAATACTTTGGCTAAAAACCATATTAATATGTAGGATATCCCTACCTCAAGAGTAGAAGCTCAAAGGAGATAATGAAGAACTTCAAAAATGCTCCAAATTCGGTTTTGTTCGGATTAAGAGGAAGCCCACAAGATGCTCTACCTCTTTAACAAAGGGAATAGGGTTGAGAGATGCTTGGATCTAGAAGTATTTGTAGAGAGAGAGAGAGAGAACTAGAGAGAGAGAGTGCCGGATTAGGGTTTTGAATGAAAAAAGATACAAAAAGTAATACAAAAAAGCTCTGTTGCGAACTAATATACGCGATCCTCACTCGAGCGAAGGAGTGGTCGCTCGAGCGACCAGACACAACAAGTGACCTCGCTCAAGCGCAAGAAGTGTCACTCGAGCATAGAATACATACCTTTAGGTATTTCACAGACGCACACCCTCGCTCGAGCACGAGAACCCTCGCTCGAGCGAAAAACTTCATCTTTCCAGAAAAGCTGCGTTTGGGAAGGAAACCTGAGAACCCTCAAAACTCGCTCGAGCATAAGAAACCTCGCTCGAGCAAAGAAGCAAATTACACAAGGCTCGCTTGAGAACAAGAAGCTTCGCTCAAGTGAAGAAGCCAAAATTTGGGCAACAACAATCTAGACCAACTAACAGTCAACCTGTTCCAAACTCGCCTAACATGTTCCAAAACTCAAATACAAAGAATCAAAGGAGAAAAACAAGACATGGATACAATATTAAACCACAAAACCCGAGTTCGGAACACAATGAAGGTCGGGTCAAAACCGGGATCGCTATACCAGGTCACAGATATCACATGAACACTTGATGCTAAGGATACCGCGAATACATTTCAGAAAAACTGGACAATCATTCATGATTCACAAAATAGCATTTCATAAACATATCATATCTTATCATTTTGAAAGTACTTATAATCAAACATAACTTTACAGAGTTGCTACTCACAAATAGCTTCAGTAGCAGAATAGATTACTTGGACAGAATAGATTGATCAGGCGAGTGACAACACCTGACCTACAAACACGTGTCAGATATACATTGAACACACGCCCCAAAGTGCTTAACTTATCATTCTTCTTTCTTAGTGTGTGTTTCCAACTCTTATCCTCATTATTGTAGCTTAATCATGGCCTAGGAATGCCTTAGATGCAATGAGGATGCAAAAATGCACTTTGAAACACTTAGCCAAATTTATGAAAACAGGGCAGTTCGCTCGAGCGTAACTTTGGTCGCTCGAGCGAACCCCTTGGTCTACAAAACTTCTAAGAGCTCTCATTTTACACTCAAACGAAGATCTTGGTCGCTCGAGCCAAGTTTGAAAACAAAGGGTGGTTGCTTGAGGGCATTTTCTGTCACTCACACCAAGGCTCATATCTGCAAAAGTATTAGGAGCTTGAATTTTACGCTCTAGCCAACTTTTAGTCGCTCGAGCCAAGGTTCAAAACAAATGGTGGTCGCTCGAGCAAATCTTTGGTAGCTCAAGCGAAGATGCAGAATCTGGAATTTTCAGATTGTTATTCCAAGTTCAAAACATGAATTTGAAACTTCAAATTTGCTCTTCTGGGCAAAAACTTTAGAAACATTTGAAAACTTGTATTACATCATGAATTGAATATCATTTCACAAAATCAAAGGCCAAAAGCAAGTCAATTCTTCAAAAGCAAAGCAAAACTATGCTCTTCTTTACATGGTATACATATGCATGAAATCATCTAAGTTCTTTACTTTAAAAACATTATCAATTAAGACAAGGTGACATCGAACATGATGAATTTCCAAAGCCAAGTTGAAATAAGGACATGCAAGCGAGAATTCTTGGAAATAATCTTCAAAACATGGTGAATTATACATGCATGCATGAATCATGCTCAATTCCATTTTCTAATATGCAATTCTAGCTTCTTATCCTCAATTCATGCAATTTATACTTTAACTTAGATAATCTCAAGTCCTACGTAATTTATGATCAAGAATTTGGTTGAATTCTTACCTTAAGCTTGAGTTCACAAGTGTAGAAGCTTAATTCTCTCAAGTCTTCTTCAATTCCTTCAAATGCTCTCCAATTCTCCTATGTCCCGTTTGATCTCGACCATCTTCTACGTTTCTCCCTCTCTCGCACGTTTTGAGCTCAAAAAGCTTGAAGTGGAAGTGTGTAAAATGTTGTAAGGCTTAACATTAGCCTTATATAGGCTTCACTAATTAATCTAGCTTAGCCTTATCAAATTGTAATTAATTATTCTAATTATTTGATTCCGAATTTAATTTCAATTAAACTTACCATAAAATTATAAAAATTCTAAATAACACATATACGTGGTCAATTTCATGTTCAGATGCTGATAAGGCCTTCTCAACTCGCGAATAAAAAAAAAAAAAAAAAACTTACATTAGGGCTAACAAGCATACGGAATTGAACATGAAAAATCAAAACTTATATGTTCAATTCATTTTCATTTTACATCTAGGCTTAGTCAATTCATGTTGAACATGAAAAATGAATTGAACATATAAGCTTAGCCTTATATGTTCAATTCATGCTTGAAAAGATAAGGCCTTTAATATGCGAATTGAACATGAAA